AAAAAAAAAAATAATAATGACCATGAATAGCCTCGGTTTTGCTGTGAGGAGTGTCCTCAATGTTAGCACCTGCAAGAAGACAGCATGTGTCGTATTTGTTTTATAATATTAGTGTTTGTACAGAATGATAGCAGGGAGACAAACTGCGTTCTCTTCCTTGCTGGTCATTATTGGTTGATGATACTCCTGTGGGGACTTATGATACTAGGTGAAACCATGTGAAATTGCTGTTTATGTAGACAATTTTATATGGCTCTAGGAAACAAGAAGTATTTTAATTAGTTTTCTCTACATCATTGTGCGTCTGCCACAAATATTTTAAGTTAATACATATATTTAAAAATTAAACCTTGAAAGGCAAGATTCGTTTGTTCTCACTCTTGCTGTGTTTTTACTCTTTGTCATTGCCTTCTTGCTCTCAAGGAAATGAAAATTCTATATACAGAAAATCTGACATTTGTCATTCTGTAGTCCCTTGAGAGGTAAACAAGTAAAAATAAGAATATTACTTACTCAGTTGTGGGTTAAAGTCCTCTTCCGATCCTTCTAACAATAATTTAAACTTGCAGCAGTTCCTTTATGAATTTTTATGAATTCTTTTTTCTATAGAGAAGACAATTGCATCATGGGCATATATTACAAGTATTGAAATGTCTTTCCCCTCCCCCTGCTTCCATATTTCTCCATTTGCAGTTTCATCTGTACAAAAAAAGGAGCTCTGGTATCTTCTGCTGAGACTTTCAGTAGAAAATCCTTCAAAAGAGAGAAGAAAGAAAAGAAAGAGAGCTATTTTGAAAGCCGACTTTCTAAAATTATATTTAGGTAAGTTAAATTTTAGATGTCATCCCTTAGAGCTGAAAGTAAACACATTTGATTTAATCATGTTAATCAAAATGTATTTGCATTCAAATGTTCTTATATATCAGTACTTCTGGATGGATTTAAATTATATTGACAGAAAACATCCATTTCCTCACATTTTCAAATACCAAGCAGGTTTTAGAACCTGGTCCACAGCATGGTTGTTTCTGGAAAAAAATTAATTCAGCCAAGGCTGATCTTGTTTTTCCTTTATTCTTTAAGCCAGAAGCAATTACTTTTCATTTCAGGATTAAGCGGCTGTAACATTGCCATTCGTCGCCGAGGCTCCTGGTTTCAGCATGTCTCCTTGGTTCTCAGCCAGTCCTGGGTGTTCAGGTAGCAGCTGGAGCTGGGAGTGCCTCTCCAGCCCGCATTCCTTGGCTCTGAATTTTGCAGTCCTGTTTATCTGATGAAGACCTCCCTACAGCGAGTTGCTCATGACACTGTCACACAGACCTTAATGAATGATTTGGAAAGATACTGAATATTTTTCCTCCAGGAATGCCAACTGATCTTGCATGCCAACCAGTCCCCTCACTTTGGCTGATCACTGCAAAGAGCCTGGTGCCGAGATAGGATGAGACCTGTCCCACATAAACCAAATTCTAACAGGATGCCTGCAAGTCCTCTCCATGAGGCTGTCACCCAGGCCTGTTCAGAGAATTTTCAACAGTTACATTTGCATAGACATTGATTCTCACTTCTCTGCACTAATTATTTACTTCGGTTTATACTTTCAATCTGTATATGTTATCACCAGCTTCAGCACACAAAGACCTGTCTTCCTTCTCTTAGAACCATGACTTTACTTGAGATAGCTTAGGGTGGCTTTAGAGCATGGCTTTCTCACTATTTCATGTGTCTTCATTTTGCCTTCCCAAACCAGACTGTAAATTCCTTGAGAGAGGAGACCTGAAAACTGACAATAATACCTTATATAGACAGAAGGACAGAAAGCAACAACAACAACAACAACAACATTTGGACAAAAAGACCATTGTTGCTCTTAGTAATTGAGAAAATTTGCCTTAACATGTTCAGAAGACTCTAGATCATTTGCTCTAACATATGTCTCTTCTCCTTTCCCCTGTCTGCCCTCTGCTGGAACTGCTAATGAGCAATAAGGGGGCCAAAGGAGGACATGGTGTGGGAAACATAGGGAAAATAGGGGCTTGTCTGATTGAAAAGCAAGTTGAATAACCATGATTTGTGAGTTCACAACCTAGATCTTTGGTGAAGCTCCTCGTTATTTGCCGTTGGGTAACTAGCAGTCTCATTACAAGACCCTTTATTGGTTCAGCGGTACTTGGGGATGTGATTCTGCCTACTGGCATGAGATGGACCAAATGACCTTGTGTGTCTTCCACTCTTCTATGCTTTTTTCACCTCTCTCTCTTGCAACCTTACAATCGATGGCAGATAGCTGAGCCAGGTAGTGCCCTGTCCCAAACATAAATGCCCTCCTATTTAGCAGTCCCTCAAAACCTTCACCACCTTCATATATAATGGTATTTTCAAGGATCTGGCAAGACTGCCAGTTTGGTAACACAAGGCAGAAGGTAAGTGTGAAACTCTAGACTGGTTTCCTGTTTCAAAGGGGAGCAGGATGTGACAGCTGCTGAGGCAGCCCATTTGCCCTTGGAGAGGAGAAGCAAGAGTGTCTGATCACTAGATGACCTCTCCCTCTTGCTGGCTCAGGGATGGTGTGAGCAGTCCTACTCCCCCTCCTGCTCTTGCTCAGATGGCTGGCTACATGTTATGAAAACAGGGAGGAAAAGTGTGTTTTTTGCTGTTGTTTTATTATTAAAAGAGGCACTCTCTGGAGAGGCAGAATCCATTAGCTGAATCCATTTCAGTATCTATGGTTAATTAATTTAGGCAGCTTTAATGCACTTTTATTATGTAGCCTTTAAGAGCAATTCTGGTAAATGTCCATCCCATAAATACCAGTACCACTTTATATGTATGATACGCTTTTTGGAAGGGTGAGTCTGAATTATTATACAGATATTAATTTGCACACAGCACTGACCAGACAATGCAAAAGTGCTTCCTCATAGTTTGAACATTGTTCGATACATTTTGAAGTGGGAAAAACTGTCAGATATGACACTCTGTGTTTTAAGTCAGTGACTAAGTCAGTCTGGTTGCCTCCCAAAACATAACTTTGAGAAGCAGTTTTGTCATTCTATGAACTGAATAATTGATTTCCGCATTTCATTCTGTTAATTAAACACTAGACTTTGAGTTACTAGAAGAAATAGCACAGTTAGCCAATAAACCTTTCTTATAAAATGACAGCATTTTAATTTATTGGATGCATTAGCACTTATTCATGGCTAAGATTTCATCAATCAATTTCCCATTTAAAAAAGATGTCTCTGAAAACAACAGAAGAAATGCTGAGCTCCAAAAGCAATGTTGTGGAAGGCAGCAGCAGGTCTAGCATTTGGGGAAGGTGTTTTAACTCAGTTATTATAGTCAACAATCATGCGGCTCCACGTTTTTTAAGTATCTACCTTATGAACTGACGTTCTTGGAATGTTAGAGTTTAAAAAAGAAAATATTTAAATTTCATTATTTAAGGGGTGTGCTGCATTTGTTCAAAATCATAACAATGTCTGATATTATTTTTGAATATTTTGCTACTTTGATGTGCTTCTATGCTGCTTTGGGTTTTTACTTTTTTTACAGTAGTACATTTCAACAGTTGGCTTCAGATTAAATGAATATTAGTATATTTTGATATTTTTATTAATTAATTGCTTTTTGAAAATATTTTAAACTGAAAATTACTCCAAAATAGAAGCTTGAAGAATCACTACCACCAGATAAATATTAATTTTAAATCATTTATTCATTTAATTCATTCAACAAAATTGTATGTAACACATAATAGGACTGACTTATCCATACGCAGGATAGGCGTAGCACCTGGAGCCCACATTACTTTTAGGGGCCTGTGCAAATGTTTTAATTTTTTTTATTTTATTTTTTTAAAGATTTTATTTATTTATTTGAGAGAGAGAGAACATGAGCCGGGGGAGGGGCAGAGGAAGAAACAGACTCCCAGCTGAGCAGGGAGCCAGATGGCAGGGCTGGATCCCAGGACCCTGGAATCATGACCCAATACAAAGGCAGATGCTTAACTGACTGAGCCACCCAGGCTCCCCTGTTTTAATTTCTTTTAAAGTCAGAAGGGAAAAAAAAAAAGAAATTTTAGGTCAAAGAGAATGTTTAAATGCATAATACTAATATATTCATCTTTTTACCAACATGGTCATAAAATATAATATTTTTAATATTTTTTATGGAGGAAGAGGTCCACGCAGGCTAAAGTTCCCAGAACCCCCAAAGGTCCTATGCCGACCAACCTATGCAAAATTTCACTATACTAGATTCTAGAGATAAGAAGATGAGGAAGACACAATTTCTATGCCCAAAGTATTCACAGTCTAATGAAGAAAATGGACATAAAACAGATAGTTCACAATGTGGTTTCCTTGAAGTTGTTTGAAATAGTTATATATAAAAAAAGTTATACCTTGAGGAACACAAATGTTTTACTACAAAAGGTCATTTAACATATAGACTTGGTCTTCGCCTTCTTTCAGTTAAACTTCTACAAAAATAGGATTTGCATATACTTTAATGGTATGTAGACATCATGACTAAACGTTTGTTCATTTTAAATACCACTGATATTGCCATCCAGATCTTTACGTGAAAGTGTTCATAGTTTACAAGGAACTTCATTAACAGGGACACAAAGGAAATGCCAGGGCCTCCATATTGATGGTTCAATGAGGAAAATTAGAAATGTCTCCCTAGCTTAGCAAAGCTTACTTACTTATGTCTTTTGGAATTTTATTGAGGCTTCAGAAATGGAACAGAATCTTGGCTGTACTTTCTCTTTTCATAAAATTTCTCGTTTATATGAGATTCATCATTTATTTTTCAGTTACTGTTTCTAATGCCATAATTGGGGTAGTCAGAATGTCCTAAAACTAAATCTTCCTCGTTAATATTTGGGCCCACTGCCACACTTTTTATTGTCAATTGGAGAACGATTTTTGATCTCTTTTTATTTTTAGAGCAATTGTACCTGCATTATCTTATTACACACACAAAAGCTTTTTGAATAAGTAGGGCATCATGGGACATTGGAAAGAGCACAGGCTCAGGCAAACCTAGATGTGAATCAGAATTCTGTCACTCAAGCTGTATGACCTTGGTCAATTCATTTAAGCTCATTGCATCTCAGCTTCCCCATCTATAAAATGAGGATCATTATGCCTGTGTTACAAAGTTGCTATAGGAACTAGAATAATGCATATGAGCATTAGGCCAGTACTTGGAATATAGTAGATGCTAAATAAATAGCTGCTATTATTATTTGCCATATTTTACAGATTAGGAAACTGAAACACAGACATATTAAATGGCCTTGGCCAGCTTCGGGTTATTCCCCGTAATTACCAGAAAATTGCAGCCTTACCTTTAATCAAGCCTCACTGAGAGAGAGGTTATAGGGCACAAAAAAAGTGCAGAAGCAAAATGTATAGAAAAATCAGTAATACTGAAGCAACCAGATAATCAATATCTATTTATTGAGCACCTTGTAAGTATAAGGTATTCTGTGCACAAGTTGGGGTACTTTGGGTTGCAAATGGCAAACTCCCAACTTGCCCACACAAAAAGGAGAATTTATGGGCTGGTGTAACCCAAACACAGGATGTAGGGAACTGGTCCTGGAGATGGCTGGATTCAGTGTCAGGAATGCTTTTAGGGCTTATACTCTCTATTTCTGACTCGTGTTTCTGGTTCTCTTTGCAGATAGCTTTCTCCGTGCCATGGGAAGCATGGCTCCTAGTAGCTTTGGTTTCTCATCTCATCCTAGCAGCCCTTTTACTAGCAAAGAAAGAAGATTTCTTCCGCTTTGGCTCCAGCCTGTAAACAATCTCAAGAATGACTTGCATTGGATCAACAGAGGTTGCATACTCCTTCCCAAACCAAACACCAAGCCAGGAAGATGGGGTAATATCCCAATGTATTAGCTCATAGAGTACAAACTTAAATTTATTTCTTAACGTGCATGCCTTTTAATGGAGAAAGTTATAAACACTTGGGTACTGTCTTAGAAAAAGCAGAACTCTCTAAAGAGGGTGATTGGAGGCTGACACAGACAGACATCCTGTTGTATGAAAAAGTCCTGGAGGAATGCACTATGCTAACAGCTTGCTTAATGCTTCTGCTTCCTGTAGAGTGGCCTGGGGGTGGGAACTCAGAGCAGACTTATAAATTGATTTCTGTAGTGGAGGAACTTCTCTTAAAATCTCTGCTGGGGTTATTTAAGACATTGAACTCTTGGGGCGCCTGGGTGACTCAGTCGTTTAAGCATCCAACTCTTGATTTTGGCTCAGGTCATGATCTCAGGGTCCTGGGACTGAGCCCCGCGTTGGGCTCCACGCTCAGCAGGGAGTCTGCTTGAAGATTCTCTCCCTCTGCCCCTCCCCCGCCTCTCTCCCTCAAATAAATAAATACTTCTTAAAAAAAAAAAGAAAAAAAGACATTGAACAGTTTGCTCTTGGCTCCAGTACTTCAGTGTCCACTCACCGTTACATTCGTGGGTGGACATGGTATTATATTAGAGATCTGGAGAGCTCATGACTGGGTGCAGATCCAGTGTTTTGACTTTTTATGCCAACATCAGCATTTCCCCACTTGTTTGACATTTCTCCTGTCAGTTGGGCCCTTGATTCAAGGTTACCTTGATTACTTTCAGGTCTTTTTAGTCATGAATTTTTCTTAACTAGTTTTACCTCAAAATGGTGTCTCTTACCTGATGTAGTTTTCGGAATAAATAGGCGAGGTTTGGTGGGGTCTGGAGCCCACGGCCAAGAAAGGATTCTTGAGACGTCTTTGGTGCAAAATGGTGGTTTTATTAAAGCACAAGGACAGGACCTGTGGGCAGAAGGAGCTGCTGCTGCCCCCGCTGCCCCTGCTGTCTTCTGCTCCCCTTTGCTGCCCCGGGATTATGAGGAATAACTGATTATATACTTTGGGGTTGGGGGAATTAAAGATAAAGGAAGTTCCAAAAGGATTTTCATGTGCTAAAGGAGACACAGGATATAGGAGGCCTTGCTATTGTCAAACTAAGGTTGTTTTTCCCTCTAGCAGGGCTTTAATATTAAGACATTATACTCTGCCTGCCTCAAGTATTTGTCAATGGGCTGCAGGTTATATGGACATTTAATTTTATCTACACTTCCTTCTGCCTTTGTTTCCCACATCATTACCCACTACTCTCTCCAGCACTAAATTCTTTCCTCTTTTACCTCCCTAAGAAACTAACTCCATCCAATACTCCAACTTCTATTTACATCTTCGATTACCCCTCTCCATTGCATCTTTCTCTACACATCTACCTACAGGACTATCCCCTTGAGATATCATCAAAAGAAAGAATATATGTGGAAGGACTTTATGATTTTGAAGTGGAATAAAAATATGGAATAATATTGTTATCCTATCTTCACAATCATCTCAAAAAATTACCAATGTAATGCATTTTTTGAGTTTACTTTCTCAGCATTCAGCTCATTACTTAATGTCTTAAAATCTGATGTCTCCTAACATATTTTGGGGAGGGGGTCCATATCTTTGTTGACCCTTCTTCCAGCACATGGCACATTTAATTTTGCCCTCCTCTTTTGGTGTCTGCAATTCACTACCTTGATTCACCTTCTCTCTCTCTGACTACTCTTCTCTCTCCTTTAATGCCCATCTGTTTCCTTCTACCTCTGAATGTGAGTGGTCTCCATCATTCTGTCCTGGCTCCTTCTCGTCCCTCCCCTCTCTCATTCTCATAAATACTTCTTGAAACAAATCCCAGATCTCTCTCTTCCCTTCAACATGTTAAATGCCCACTGATAATGATATCTCATTAGCCCCCAAACATAAGGTATATAAAATAAACTCTCATTCTATCCTAAATATCTTTCACCCTATCTCAGCCAACAGTGTTACTTTTCTACCCAGTCACCAAGGCTTGAAACCTTGGTTCTCTCTTTGATTCCTTGCTCTTTTCCCTGAATCCAATTTAAGCTATATTTTTAAGAACACATTGTTCTGTTCACCTACCTTCTGTTCACTCTGTCTCTCCCTTCTGCCTTCTCTTTCTTCAGGCAGTGATGGTTCAGGCTGCTGGAACAGCACACAGTCTATTATCTTGCTTTCAGTAAGGTTGTCCAGAAGTATTTTGTGGCCATACTTTTTTTCTCTTCCTCATTATTGATTCTTTCCCTTTTCTGAACTGAATAATCATTCAAATTTTATTCATAAAGATCATTAAATCTTCTTCTACATATCAAATACCTTTCTCAAAACCTAAATATACACTAACATGTTTAGAATGGCCTATATAGCATGTCTAGTTAAGTCACGGTCAGGTGTAAGCTGACTGTTGTCTATAAGCATTGACATGAAAAAATACATTTCATGGCTATGTATTTTGTTAATATAATTTGCATCTTCAAGTTAGTAGCTTCATCTTAGGATAAGATTTCAACCATATTTGATTTAGAAAGCTAAAGTTTTGATGAGCTAACGAATGTACATTAAACATATTACTGAAGTTTTGATACATTTCCAGCAATCATCAGCATATAATTCCAGTTTAGGTGTAAACTCATCAGAAACCTCACCTCAATCTCTAGGACTCATGTCGTCTTGCTGTATTTCTGCAGATCCTATTAATAAAGAATGATTAAGGACAGCTTTATTTTTCCCAGTTTCAATATTAAAGATGTATGTTGTAACAGTAACATACTGTGCAGCTATAAAAAAAAAATAAACTAGAGAAGTTCTTTATATGTTTATATGGAAAGATCTCTGTTATAAACTGAATGTTTGTGTCCCCCCCACCCAAATTCATATGTTGAAGCCTTAGTCCCCAATGTTATGGTATCTGGGGAGTAATTAGGGTTAGATGAGGTCATGAAGGTGGGATCACTTGGTGGTGGGATCACTGCTCTTATAATAAGAGACACTGGAAGACTTGCTGTCTCTTTCTGCCTAGTGAGAACACAGTGAGAGGGGCCATCTGCAAGCCAGGAAGAGAGCTCTCACCAGAACCCAACCATGGCTGGCACCCTGACCTCAGATTTCCAGTCTCCAGAAATGTGAGAAAATAAATTTCTGTTGTTTAAGCCATCTAATCTATGGAGTTTGGGTATGGCAGCCCAAGCTGATTAATACAATCTCCAAGATTTATTTTTAGGTAGGGAACAAAGGATGCCAAAATAGTGTCCTGTTGGGGTGAAAAAAAAAAAAGGAAAAGAATCTATCCTTGTACTGGCTTGTATATACATTCTAAAACTCCTGGAACTAACTGAGAAACTAATAATGTTGGTTACTTGTTTTGGGGGTATAGGAACTTGGCAAATAGAGGGCAGGCGTGGAAAGGAGACATTGCTGTGTATCTTTCTATATTTCTTGATGCTTGAACTATGTGAATGTGCCACCACTTCAAAAAATTAAATAAGTAAAATTTATTAAAAATGATAAATCCATTTGGAAAAACAAGATTATATTGAAATAAAGAAAATATTGATTATATTGAAAGAAAATTGCTGATTGGCAGAATAATTATGACAGAAGTTGACATTTGAAGATGAAGGTCTATGAGCAGTTATATTAAATTGCTTTCTGGGTCAGTTATTTCATGATTGCTGTGATTATGTGGACAGTTCTGATTGCCTACTGCCCTTTCCTGGGATCTGCATTGGTTACTGACAGCAGAGCTTGAAGTACCCCATGTAACATGCATTTGGTTGAAGGATGATGGCCACGGGTTCTCCAGTACTCTCTCAGTAATGTCCAGATGAGCTCTCTGAAAGTAAAGGCTTCTTCACCTCCCTTCAGTTGGTGGTCCTATATTCAAGGACAACTGCTGAGAAAAGGACCAACCCATTCATTTGAAAGAGGTCAATGTCTTTTCTGTGGACAAAGATGTGACTTCTCTCACAACTCACCTTGGCCAATTAAACGTCCAATTGTTTTAGCAACATTATATCATACTACCCGAGAGTGTTGTCCTTAAATGTAGTTCTGATCATTTTCTTGCTTTTAACTTCCATCAAAGACTTCTTCTCCATTGGTCACCTGGCCTATCTCCCCATTGACTCTTTTTTTTTTTTTAAGTAAGCTCTACGCCCAACATGGGACTTGAACTCATGACCCTGATATCAAGAGTCACATGCTGTATTGACTGAATCAGCCAGGCACCCCTCCCATCCATCAATTCATTTTGAGCTGTTTTGCCATGACCCCAAAGTGCCTTTGTTTCTGTCCCCCCACCATCATAAATGTAATTTCCATTCCCTGGACTACCCTTCTATTTGTTCCTTTTGAGGAAGCTCCCCCAAAGGGAAGTGAGTGTCTTTCCTGACATCACTCTAAATTTTTGAACAGCATTGATATTCTTGATGCGCTTTTTACTTCTTGTCCAATTCAAGAAGTTCAGGGGCCACATAGCATGTTCATTTTACATCCCCAATGCTGGCATCCAGTAGGCACTTGATGGTTGAATGAATGAATAAATATACACTCTGGCTGACATGTTAAAGACAAAAATATAGTAGCCTATAATAAAATCCTAACCAATGCTTAGGGAAATGCTTCACAGGAGGAGTCTAACTCTCTGCATTGCAATTGTGTTATTCAAGTCCTAATTGACTTATAAGAGCTGAATTTTGTCAGGACAATTCTCCATGAGCCTTTTGATTGGGGGGGAAGCTTTCAATTTTGTAGATATTTTGTGTGTGTTTTGAAAACTCTGCTGGGCATCCCCTTACTAAGGCATCTCTTTGAGGAACTCCTCAGTTTAAGAGCATTTTATTTCTAACATTTTAAAGTATAGATGATAGCTCTCAATCCAGTGGATTTTCATCCTTATCTCCAGAAAACCACATTTTTTATGCTTTGTAGTAAAGTAAGTTGTATATCTATAGAAATCACCCTGTGTAAGTGAACCT